TGCGCGTTGCCCTGGCGGGAGATGACGGCGAGCGCGTTTCCGGCGTTGGCGATGTACAGCGTACGGTGGACGAGGTAAAGCACGATCCCGGACGCGCCAATCTTGTCGTGCACGGCCTGGTTCATCGCGGACGCACTCACGTGGGACATCTTGCGGCCAGAGGTCGAGTAGAGGTAATCGTGCAGGAGTTTGTTGAGCTTGAGGAAGGAACGACGCATCGCGTCCTCGACGCTCTCCGAGCGCGCGAGCCGCGCAAGTTCCTCTGTGAACACGCGCAGGAAGCTGTCGTGCAGGAACTTGGTGAGCTTGTTGTTGCTCGCGAAGTACGACGCGCGCCCAAACATCGCGAACACGGCTTCGTACGGGCTCCCGCGGAAGTGTGGCTGGACGAGGTCGATCATCGTCAGCTGGTCCGTCGCCTCTCGCGCCCCAAGCGTGTCGGCGATCCCGTACGCCACTCCGTTGACGTCCGCCATCGACGTCCGTACACGGCGGTCCTCGCTCTCCTCGGGGATGTTCGTCTGCATGCCGATTGTGACGTCCATCAGGCCGAGCATGCGCAGCTGCGTCAGACTGGAAAAGTCGGACAGCTGCTGCTGGTTACGTGACAACCTGTGGTTCATGTCGGGCTTGATCTCGAGCCGTTTGTTCCCCGACAGGTTGAGGTAGCGCAGGTTCGTGTTGAAGTTCCTAAGAAGGAACGGTCAGCCTCGCTATCCACAGTAGCTGCCGAAGCAGACTCACCAGTTCCAGTCAAACTCCCAGTTGTTGATGTTGTACTTCAGCACGTTGCTACCCACGTCCATGACCGACAGCTTCGTGAGCTTGCTGATCTCGCGCGGGAGCGTTTGGAGCTTATTCCCGTTCAGGAACAGCACCTCCAGGTTCGTCATGTGTTGCAGATTCTCCGTAGGGATCGCCGAGATATGGTTCCCGCTCAGGTACAGCTCGCGCAATGCCGTGAGATTCCGGAAGAAGCTGCTCGGCAACTGCTGAATGTTGTTGAACGATAGGTTCAGTACCTGCAGCTCCTTCAGTAGCGCAAGGGGGTGCAAGGTGTCCGCGGTCAGGCTGTTCTCGCCCACGTAGAGTTGCTCGAGCGACGCGGCGAGCGCGGGCAGCACCGAGCCCGTGAGTGAGCTTGAAGAGCCCTTTCGGTCGGGTATCAGGCTCACGGTGCTGCCCCATGCATGCGCTACAGCGACGTCGAGGTCGATCGAGCCCGGCGGGAGGTTCCATGTGCTGATGACATTCGACGTGACATTGATGACCTGGAGGGAGGAGCAGTTCCAGAGGCTCATGGGGAGCTCGGACAGGTCGTTGTTGTGCGCCTCGAGCTTCTCGAGCCACTGCAAGCGTCCGATGCTGCTCGGTAGCATGTACAAGTGGTTATTTGAGCACGAGAGATGTTTGAGGTGCGAAAGCGCGCCGAGGCTCTCAGGAAGGGAACGGATGGAGTTGTGGTCGATGTGCAGTACCTCGAGCGCAGTGAGCTGTGCGAGCGCCATCTCGTCCAGCGCGGACAGCTTCGCGTGCGACAGGTTCAGCGTTGTGAGCGCATATGGAAGTCCGAGCGGGCCCGGGACGAGCGTCAGCTGCGTAATGTCGTTGTGGGATGCGTCGAGCTGCTTTAGGGACGGCCCAAACGACACGTCGAGCGCGTGCAAGGAGTTGTGGTCCGCGAGGAGTTGCTCGATCTTGGGAAGCGTGCAAACGACCGAAATATCCGTGATAGGGTTCCGCCGACAGTCCAGGACGCGGAGGCTGCGCATGTGTGTAAACTTCTCGGGGATCCGGTGCACCGAGTTTCCGACAATAATGAGATGCTCGAGTTGCGCAAGCTGACCGAGCTCTTCGGGGAGCTCCGAGAGGCCATTGAACGACACGTCAAGGTCGACGAGGGACCGCAGCTCACATACTACGGCAGGCATATGCCTGAACTTGTTGTTCGAGATGTTAAGGTCACGGAGCTCTCGCATATGGGGGAAATAGAAGGGGAGCTTCTCCATCCGGTTGTTCTGGAGCTTCAAGTGACGCAGCTGCGGTATCTGGTCAAGCCCGGCATCGTCGAGCTCCGCTATGCGATTGCAGGACAAGTCAAGTCGCTGCAAGGTCTGACAGTGTCGTACGCTCTGAGGGACCCTCTTGAGCGCCATGTGGGATAATCGGAGCTCGCGAAGCGTGGAACATGCTTGAATGAAATCCAGGGGGATCTCCAGCATCGGATTTCGGGAGAGGTTGAGGGAGACGATCGCATCTGCATGCGCATACAACGTGATGGGCACTGCTCGGAGGCTGCGGGATGTAAGGTCGATCAGATCGAATGCCTCGAATTGCATCTCGTCTTCCTGATAAATTTATGAGATATAATATCGCAGCGAGAAACCTGAAGACGTACCGGTGGTCCTAGCACGTTGCTCTTGTAGACGAACTTCAAGAGGAACTGTATGTCGTCCGCACCAAGAAGGTCCAGTCCGTCCGCGACATCATAGCCAGCCTGCTCTAATCGTCTCCTAACAATGTCAGCAGGTCGCTCCGTGGGCGCAAGTATCCGTTCTACATGAATGTCAGGAGACGTCTGCGTCAATATCGTGCGAATGCGTACCCCGGCCTCGCTCCTTGAGATGCAGCCTGTGAGGCTCAACTCCCGGGTCCAGAAGCAGCTTCTTGTTCAGCTGCGGCGTGAGCTGCGCGACGGTGACGTTCAAGTCGCAGGATACGACGTGATACGAGTTATTCGCGCGGTATATCCGCACTTTATAGAGGCCCCGCGACTGACTACTCCGCTTCTTCTTCTGCTTGTTGTTACGGGCTTCCCGTGGGGGTGTTGTCGTGAGTTTCCCATGCGCGCTCTCTTCCGAGGAGGAATACGCCGTGATCGACTCATCAGCACCCTCCTTCTCGACGGCCCAGCTCTCCGGAGCAGTCCAAGAGGGGGAGCCCTCATCGAGGATCGCAGTCGGAGTCGAGCCCGAGACTGGAGGACGAGCTTTCGGCGAAATCCTCCGCCCATCGAATGTCTTAGCACCGGGGGCTAACCGTCGTTGACTTCCAGGTAGAAACGGATTGATGAACACACTATGCTGCGACGTGCTCGCGGAGCCAAACTGCATCGAGGACACATCCGAACTCGACTGGTGTGAGGACTCGAACCCGCTTCCAGGCGAGTTGCTCTCGGCGGTGGGTGGAGGGAGTGAGGACAGGTCCACGATGCCGTCCATCTCATTGAGATTCAAGTCGAGTTTGAAAAGCGACTTCGGCTGGTCGACAGTCGGCGTAACGTAGGACTGTTTCTTCTTTCGCGTACTGCGGTCTTTCTTTGTAAATGAGCCGGGGGGCGTTGTCGGGGTTGGGTGGAAGGACAGGTCAGGCGAATTTGGCAACGGAGGGGCGGGCTCTGCCGGTGGTCGGTCTGAACGCAGTTTGCTCAACGACCGTTTCTTGAACACGCTGGTTAGCGGGTTCAAGCTCTTCTTGCGCGACTCTACGGTACGGCCCGAGCGACCGGAGTCATTGGAGTGTATGCTGAGCGTTTCGGACGGACGGGCGGTGGCAGTGGTGGACACGCTGATGCTGGAGGTGCTAGGATGTCGCGGGGATGTGAACGACGAGAACGACGGTTTGGTAGGGAAGCCAAAACGATGATGTGAGGACTTGGGAGGAGGTGTGGGCTAGAGGGAACAAATGTCAGCTTAAGCTCAGAACACATTCTAAGTTGGTCCAATATAGCTGCGAAGCTCGGGAGCGCCGCAGCTAGAACGAACATGGTGAAGCTGGGATCCCGGGGACGATGCGTGGGTTGGGACATCGAACGACGAGAGGGACATGCCCGAGGACATTGCGTTTCCAAAAGGTACTAGAGGAGCACCTCCGGCGGGCTCAATTTCTCAACAAAGGAACAGCTTCACTTGCCCCAGCGTATCCAATTCCTGTTCTAACCTGTTCCAACTCTCGGCTTTCCTCTAAGGACGCTCAACTGTAACCGGACACTTGTCACGGACGTTTTGTATGCAAAACACATTCAGCGTAGTCAATGAGTCTCCTCGCAAAGAACGTCCTTAGAACATGCCCATAGCAGATGTCCGGCCAGACTTGAGTGCCCCTTCGAGCCCATACATCCCGCCTGAGAAGAATGCGAGATAAAGCCACGTACAGGTTCATCGCCATTGTTGGGCGTTGCCCACGGAGCGATCGCAGCGAGGTTGTTGTCCTCGTTGAGAGTGAGAGAGGACAGAGAGTCGTGGTCGATGAGATCATGGGAGACAGTACTGGACATGTCCCGCGATATGCGGATTGAGGTGGGGAAGGACGCTGAGTAGAACTCGGTCTGCATGTTGTGAGGGCCCTGGAGGGGAAGAGAGGACGGCGAGGATGAGGGCGAAGCTGGATTGGGCATGCGCAGCGCGGGCGTCGAGTGGGCGGGATCGGCGGGGTCGGGAAGTGACAGATGCAAGAGGAAGCGAGATGGCTCTGTCGCTTACGGCCTCCGTTCGGGCGGGCGTCGGAGGGAGGGAGAGCAGCGACCCAGAGGGCGTCGAGAGCGTCGAGGACAGCGCGGGCAGCGAGCAGCAAGTGGGAGCACTGGCTCTGGAACCCTTGCCTCATTTGGGTCAATTGCCTTACGTAACGCACCGTTCGTACCTCCTCCGGGCGTAGTTCAGTTGAGCTTGAACGTTTCAACGTCAACTTCATTAATGTTCCCTACTTACTACTACACTCTCTCTATCAGACTGTTGCTATGGCCTCGGGCCTGTGCTGCTCTGTGCAATATTCTCTTTGCCATCAGCGTCTCTTGTATACCCCCTCGCTGAGTTCGTCTGGACGGCTTTGAGCTTTACGGGAATGCTGAGTGCCGCCATGCGCCGGGGTTCTTTTATTATCGGCTATCTAAGTCGAGCTTTCTGCTGGAGTACTTACCTGACGCGGACGGTGGGCAAAATATTGTACGTGCACGGTACCGAGACCTACGTCTCCCGGTTACGCAGACCGAATGTAAAAAGTGTCCCAGGGAGGATTCGAGCCTCCGTCTTCACGGTATTGTGTCTCCACAACGTGATGATCTAACCACTAATCGACAAGGACCATGCAGAGTCTTCATCAGATGCATATATAGTCAGCAGAGTACCCTTAGGCGACTTCCAACTTCCTGACGGCATCACCCGGGAGTCCTTGAATGCAACGTACTAGCAGCCACACACTCGTTGCTAAAGCTCAGCGCTCAGGCCTCAGGCCTCAAGCCTCAGAGCTTAGAGTTCATGGCAAATGAACTGGCAGGTAGAATGTGTATCGGTAAGTGGGTTTGCAGTCGTAGCAAAAGCGACCGTTGTGTTAACATGAATATACTCCATCCAGCTGGCTCTTTGCATATATATACCGTGACGTTGGTACTATCAATGCGATCACGGTCATGCCCATAGGGGGACTATAGCTCAACAACTCGGTCGACGCTGGGGATCTTTGTGAAACGACCCTTCACTACAAACTTGGGAATGCCCGGTCCCGCGCTGCTTCATGATAAATTCTCGACTGCAGCCGCAACTTTGAAGGTGCTCAACACCAAGTCCAGATAGCTCTGCACATAGCGGTGGCGAGGCTCCAGTCCATCGTGATGGCATGCTCGCTTCTACCGTCCACCACATGTAAGGTGCCTCGCAGAACTTTCAGTCCCGTGGATACCTCTTCTCTCATTTTGGTATGCACTCATTGGACAGAGGTCAACAACCCCTGGAGAACAAGTGGAGTTCGGAACCTAGGCTATTTTTTCGGCAAAATCGACGCAACCTGCTTTCATTTCCGTCCTCCGACGCCGTGCATCGCACAGGGTGATACAAGGTATGGCTGGATGTATGCCTCTGTAGGCGAACTTCTCTGTCGAAGGTGGACGAGGATGCATCTCACTAGCGGTTCGTGCCTCTCGGCTCTTCTCGACCTCCGGTGAGAAGTGCATGAAGGCTTTAGGGGACCAACTTTAGTACTGCAGATAGTATGCTCCAGTTAACATTTTCAAAAACAGTGACAGTAGCGGGATGGAGTATAAGTAGCACTCATCGTCGTTACCGACGAACTCACCAGTCTCCACCCGCGCTCATCCCAGGTCTGGTCCTCCTTCCTATCCTCACGGACGACGTTCGCTGACACCGCTCCTTGTGTCTCAGTGCGCGTATCACACCTTGCTCATATACTGAATCGAGCCCTATCTCCGTATTAGTGCCTTATGTATGTCTGCCCGTCCGTTCACTTCAGCGAAGTCTGACTCTGATCCGGCTTTCCTAACAATCATGGCCGGTCTCAACCTTGTCGACGAGCTGCGGGGCTGGCTCGACAACAAACCGGATGTCAAAGTCAAATTTCAGGAGTCGTTCAACACCGCCAAAACCTACGAGCTCATCGAGTTCAAGAACATATCCACCCTGGGCGAATACTTCGACCTCTACGAGACTAACCTGAAGTGGGTGCCGCAAGAGACTCAGGACGGGCAGGCCGTCCTGCGCACCATCTGCATGTTCTACTTCGTCCTCAGTCTTCCCCCTATCGTGCATGCTCAGAGCCCCATCCTCCCGTTCACTAAGCCGCCGTACACCTGGCTGTCCACGTGGATCATCCGCTATGCTAAGCAGCTGGGCCAGTGGATGGACAACGAGGACTCGATCAGCGCCAACTCCCTCGCCAAGTTCTTCCAGGCGCCGAGCTACCACATGGAAGACTACACGGGCAAAGACACGTGGACCACATTCAACAAGTTCTTCGCTCGCGAGCTCAAGAAGGGCCTGCGCCCGATCGCGGACAAGGACAACGACAAGGTGATCACCAGCCCGGTCGACGGGACCTTCGACGGCGGCTGGCAGATCCAGAACGACGGCGTGGTCCAGTTCATCAAGGCGAAGGGCATCCCGTGGCCCATCGCCACACTGCTCGACGACACAGACAACTCCCAAGGCTACGCCGCCCAATTCGCAGGCGGAATGTTCTGCCACTCCTTCCTCCGCCCGAACGACTACCACCGCCAGCACGCCCCGGTCTCCGGCACCATCATCGAGGCGACCCTCATTGAGGGCCTTTGCTACCTCGAGGTCGAAGTCGTGAAGGACGGCACGCACAACGGGCTCCCGCACCTCGGCATGCGCCGCAACTTCGACACCGCCGACAAGTTCGTCGCGCCCAACACGCCGGGCTACCAGTTCATCCAGGCGCGCGCGCTCATCCTCATCCAGAACTCGATGTGCGGGCTGGTCGCCGTACTCCCGATCGGCATGGCGCAGGTCTCGTCCGTCGTGCTCTCCGTAAAGCGCGGCGACCACGTTGAGAAGGGCCAGGAGATGTCGTACTTCCAGTTCGGCGGCTCGGACGTCGTCATGATCTTCCAGGCGGGCGCGAACGTGAGCTTCACGGCGAAGACCGAGTCCCACTACAAGTACGGACAGCAGATCGGCCTGGCCAACCCCATCTGAAAGGTGAGCTGAAACGCGGTATGCATAAGTCACGGTGCATGGCGCTTTAGTACCCACGAAGGCGTTTACTAACGTACCATGTTACCGTAGATTGCCTCCGGTGGCTCTCATTTGAGGTCCTTTCTATGCCTTGCTCCATGAGGGGTCTTGATTGATACACGAAACTACCCTTGTCTACAAGCTTTGCCAGAAAACCCTGTATAACGTCGGCAGTGTAGTGTACGATTACCGGCAGCGAGCAGCTCATGACTTGTGTAACAGCGTCCCAGTATCTCAAATCTTGATGTAGTGCAGCGAAGTTCGGTATACCGCTAGCTTCTCGGAGCGCGCATGCAACGTACTTCAATAGCATAAGCGGTGCAACATGGAATTCAATGATGGTACATGTTCGGCCTATGCCGGAGTGACAAGGAACGCCGCGGTGTCATGCGCGGTCAGCGAAGTAGTAAAGGTCGTAGCGAACGTGCCCACGTCCTTGCCCGTCCACATGTCGTGCACCAGGAAGGAACCAGCGCCTAGGCCGGGGACGTCCGCGAAGTTAAAGGACTTGGAAGCGGCTGCGCCCGTGTTGACGATGAAGACGTGGGTCCCCTTCGAGGACTTCCCGGCAAAGAACTCGGGAGGGGACGAGGAGGAAGAAGCGGGTATGAAGGGCGCGGCGGGGGTTCCCACGGAGGCGTCTTGGTGGAATGCGAGGAGCTCGGCGTTCTTGATGATGGCCAGTTGCGTAGAGTTCAGTAGACTCAACTAGATTGTTTCATCACTCATATGAATAAAACCCTTCAAGACATGTGAAAATTACTCACGTCTGTACCCAACAGGATAGGGCTCTTCAGGAAACACCAAGCCGCGAAGTGCGTGCGCTGTTCCTCGATGGTCAGGTCGCCGTTGCCTATCTCCATCATGTCCCTAGTGCGTGCTGATCAGTAAAAGCTCATTGCCACGCGAGTGATATATAGCAGTCGCTTACATGTCGTTGTGCGAAAAGAAGTCAATCGAGGAGAGGTGCTGCACGTTCGTGGTGATGATGCTCGTGATGTAGTTCCACGACGCGCTCGAGTCGCCCGACATGCGCCACGAATGGCCCTGAGGAACGCACACCGCGCAAGTTAATGAAAGGCCACAGATATCAAACAGATGCCAGAGAGTTGCACTTACCACACGCGCGCCCCAGTCCCATACGTTCGCGGCGCCCCAGATGCATAGGTTGAACTCGAAGGGGCGTGCGGTGCCGTTGAGTGCAGCGCTATAAGAATCATTAGAGAATCTGCGTAGACGGACTACATCGTGTACTCACGTCATCTGCCGGTAACGTATAGCAGAGTTGGAATTGCTGCAGCGGAGTGAGTACTCGAAGTTCGAACGTAGGCCAGCTACGAGATATACGTACTACCAGTCACCGCCGGGAGGCGTCTGAGGGTGTAGTAGATGAGTGAAACGTGATCTGCCATCTACATAATGAGGCGTACCCCGCTGTCAGACCAGTTGCCCGGAACATTGCAGTTGTCTGCAAGCTTCTTTAGATATTCCGACGGGTGCTGAACCGATGTCCTACGTACCGTACTTGAGATCTGAGGAGATTTACCCTGAGTATCCTTACTCCAAAAGAGGATAAATGCGGGCCCTCACAATCGACACCCCATCCTGCGAATGTCGTTGCATCAAGCACTTCATTGCCCAATGATCCCGGGAAGCCAGCACAGGTCGCGGTTCCCGCATCGCTGTCAGGAAGTCACTCCGTTTCAAGACCGAAATTCGATGATAGGTCTGAAAGGCGCGCATACCTGTATATACCCAACTTCAAGCCGAGAGCGTGCACCTGTTCAGCAACACCGCTGATCCCGTTCGGGAACTTCGTGGGATCGGGGACGATGCGTCCCGTAGACGCATCGCGCTGCATTTCGGCCCAGCAGTCCTGTATGGATACCAGAACACTCAGTACAACTGACTACATGCGCGTTCCGGCGTGCATACGTCGATGTTGATATACTCGTAGCCAAGATCCGCGAGCCCTAGGGAGACGAACTGGCTCGCGGCGGCGAGGATCTTGTCCTCATTGATGTCTGCGGACGAATGTGTTAACAACTTTATGCATATCAGTAAACAGGAGGTAGATGGGGCTCACTACATCCATACGCGTTCCATGCGTTCCATCTGCGCAGTGTTCAGCATTGAAAGATGTTGATTTATATCATACAGACAAACCCCAGCGCAGGCAGCTTGCCCACAGTGCGTGACGGGCCCACAGTCGGCGCACTTGCCGCGATACCCGTGAGCGTAGCAGTGGCGGACGGCGTCGTGCTCGAGGGAGACGAGGACCCCCCTGCGGCAGTGGTCGAGACCGGGCCAGTGGCCTGGAGGCACTGGGAGTAGTACGGGTTCTGCGCGATGCATGTCCACCTGTTTGTTCGAATTAATGATCAGGCTCGGCGCACGCTCAGAAGGAGAATGAAAAAACAGCGTACCCAGAGGGACAGAGCGTGCCGCCGGTCCAGCCAGTGCCACCGCACTGACCCCATTCGCTCTGAGCAAGGGCAGGTCCTAGAAACGCAACCGCAATGAGGAGACGGGAGAACGCCATTTTCCGGTACGTTGTTCAATAGTGCTGGTAAGCGTTGCAGCTGTACGCCGCTC